ATGAGGCTTGGGTCCCCAGACCTTGACTGGGGCAGCGAGGGAATGAAAGAAAGGGCAGGCACGTACACAGAAAAGCTGGGATCTGCTGGGGTACATGCACTCTGGTGGAGCCACAGCTGCTGCACCAGCAACCTGGAACCTCAGTGTGTTTATTGGGTACAGCACAGGAGCACAGATGGAGGGCGTGGCTAGGGTTAGAGGCAGACTGTAAACATCTGAGAGGAGGAAGGAGCTCTAGTTGCTAAGCTTTGCACACACTGGTCACTCGTGTGCACTGGGTTTCACAAGGCGAGCTTTGTCATCGCAGGTAAGGCTTTGCCACTGTGGGGCTGAAGCATCAGAGTTTCAACAGGGTAGTGCCCGTGTCAACAATTCACATTCAGTTAGGACCTCACTGACTCGCTCAACACTCATATTCCTGGACTCACATTTTTCGCTGTCCAGTTACTGGCAACAGCCTCCTTCTGTCACTCTCCAGGTCAAGACTCCCCAGCCCGTCATGACACATTGTCTCAGCCCATTAGGAGCGGTAAAGTCAAGGATTTGGAAGTTCTAGAAACCTATCCCTCCATGTTTTGAGCCTGTGGATGGTGAAATTAAGAGTGGGGTGAAGATGAACCATGATGGTTTCCCCATCTTCATTTCTACAGAATTATGAGCAGAATTCTATGTCCCCCCCCCCAACTCTATTTGCTAAAGTTCTAACTCTTAGCACTGCTGGATGTCACCTTTTTTGGGAGGGAGACATTACAGATGCAAGTTGGTAAAAGAGTCATTGTGGAGTAGGGTTACTCCTTATCCAGGGTGACTGGGGAAAGGAGAGTGGGGAGGAGAGATACCCATCACCCCCTGCAGGTGAGGTCAGTGTCAGGCTGAAGACACCCTCAGAAGCCAGGGCAGCATGGAGCAGCTTCTCCTTACAGCCTGCAGAGACGGCCAGCTCCGCATCACCATCCTGCACATCTAGCCCCAGTCACAACAGGCCACGTCTGTTGGGTCAGCTGCCTGGTTTTGCTACTTTCTCTTAGGACCTCGGAGCTCAGGGACATGGAGGGAAACGTGAAAGGCCTGCTTTACAGGTCAGGGCAGAGTGGGTCTCTAGAAAGCTTGGTTCTTGTAACAACAGCACCCCGGTACCCTGCATGATTCTCCCTCCCAAGCCGAAGGCCTCAGTGTGGCAGAGTTCAAAGCCACACCAAGCCCTAGGCTGGCTGTGGGTCTGCTCTGCCCCCTGGGGTGTGGATGGCTGGTGTCCTGATCTATTTCATAAGGTGTGCATTTGCTGCTCCCTCAGCAAGCCCCTCCCCACCCCAACCCCGCCTTCTCCCCAAGACCTCCTTCAAGGTCCTCCCTCTTTTGTGGGGCTCTCTTGGGTTCTATTACAAATAGCTCAGTGACCCTGGAAGCTTCCTATCCTCCCAGGCTGGGCCAGGGGCACAGAGACACCATGAGTCTTCAGAACATGCTGGCCAGGGAGGCTCGGTGGAGGCTTTTTCTTCAGGGGAGCAGGCAGGAGCGGGTCAGGACTCACAGCTCCAGAAAAGGAGGACCTCAAGGAGAGCTCTGAAGTTTGTCTTTTACAGGGTCTACTGGGTCTCTGTTCTGCTGGGGTCCCCTCCTCTCCTGTCAGGCAGCCTGGTTCCTATACTCAGGGCACTTAGCATGAGAAGCTGAGGGCTCTGCCCAGCCCCATGCTGTCTCCCATGTTGAGGATATGGGGTTTGCCAACTCAGTTACTGGACTGCAGACCAAGCTGGTGTTTACAGCCAAATCCACATTCCCTAAAAGAGCCTCCAAACAAGGTTGGACATGTACCTCCCACCTGTTTCCTTTCCTCCCATGCCGCATGCGTGGTTTGGCTTTTGGCTACCCAGCCCCTTCCAGAAATGTACCATCCGGAAGAAAGGGCTCGAAGGGGCTTCATTTGTATTTTCCCAGCAGGCCTCACTGACTTCTGGAAGGCTCATTGTTTCCAGTGAACCATCTGTGCAAGGTGTGTGTCCCAGTTGAAAACTATTTCCAAAGAGAAGGGAAAACTTATCTGCGCTGTTATGGTACTGGGTGATCATGAGAAATGGGACAGGACCACGGGGAAGAGTGGATGGGTGTGAGAATGGACAGTCTATCCAAGAACCTTCTGGAAGATCAGGACTCCCTACCACATACCTGCGTTCATATAGGAGACCTGTGAACCTACATAGCCAGCCCCCTGCCCCTGTGAGGAAAGGACAGGTTTGGGGGTGGTTCGGGGTGGTTCTCATGTTTGTCCCCTGAGCCAGTAACATGACAGCCGTGTTATACGTCCTGAAGGCCTGGTCCCCAGGTTCTTGGCCTCGAGTATGTCAGCCAAGTTCAGAAATGAGTTTGGAATTCAGGTACTGCTCATTGGAACATTAGCCTGTGGAATCTGAGGCAGTCAGAGATAAAGGGACCGCAAAGATCAGAAGCTCTGCCTAGCTGACCAAAGACCACAGTGTTCTGGGGAGAATGTGAGAGGGCTGTGCGATCTACCTCAACCCTGCCTTTGTGGCAGGTGAGGAGAGCTGGCGCCAGCAGCTCCCGTGTGAGCACTCACCTGCCACATGCCTGTATGTTCTCTCTCCAGCCTGTGTGGCTGCCATGGAAGCCAGAGAAACCAGCCAATCCCTGTGTCCTCTGGGTCCTGGGCTCACCTGGGACAGTAGGAGCACTCTGACAAGGCACACAGTTCACATTGTGCTTAGTGGGGGCATCGGAAACTTTTCAGGCTGATTCTGCTTCAGCAGACCCAGTGGGAACTTGGATTCCCAGTTCCCTGCCCACTTTTCCCCAAAATGTGCTGATCCCCATCCTGGCTCTTGGTTACAGAGTGCCTCTGTGTGCTGCCTGGTTCGGTGCTGGCCATTGAGTTCCTAGAGAGTCCCCCGGGTTATAGTTTCCACCTGGATATGTTCCATCTCCTCTCCCAAGCCTAGCAAGGTGGGAGCCAGGCCACCTTTTGGCTACTTTTGATACAGGGAGGGAAGATCTGGCGAGCCTCCAAGCAAGGGTCTCCCCCTGAACCCCAGCTGTGAACTCCATACTGAAGGGTAAAACCCTTATAGCTCATCTGAGCCCTTGTCCATGGTGGATGTAGTGCTCAGTGTGGTGACTCGGTGTCCTTACCCTGGCCTGCTTCCTGCTGCCACCAATACCAAAGGCCACACAGACTCACTCTTACCTTTTCATAGACATTTCTTGGTCACTTCACCCTGCCAAGGCCCTGTCATCAGGGACCCCGCCCCTCCAGCCAGCCCCTGATCTCTTCCAGGTCTTCTACAAGGGATGAAAGGAAGCAGTGGGCAGGATGGACAGAGATGAGCTGGCCTCCATAGCTGCCCCCCCCAGCTCTCTCTTCCTCCTTACAAAATGTCCCTGTCCCACCATTGGAAGAGGAACTCAGTACCTGGATGGTACAGCATCCACTCCCCAGAGGGTCCCTCCTCTACCTGGTAATGCTGTGGTGACCTAGGTCTGTCTAGTAGAATTGTAGTTAGCTTGCAATCTGACCCTGGAATTAACCATTTGGCGGTAGGGTAAAATGATGACGTGTTGGCATGCTTGTGGTCCCATCATGGCAGCTCTGTGGCCAGGAGGACCTCGGCGCCTCAGCTTGCTCTTAGAGCTTATCTTTACCAAGGGTGTTATCAGCAGACAGGTGCTGGGTCAGAGCCAGATCCCCACTCATCGCACAGCCCATTCCTGACCAGATGCTAACAATGAGCCTGTGTGCTCCACTGGTTGGTGTCCCAAAGGCGTGCTTATCCCTTGCCAAGATCAAATTGTCGGCTGCCTTTCTGACATGTGAGACCACAGAGAAGGCTTGTCTGTCCCTCACTGGGGTCATGTGTTAGAACCAGAGACTGGACCTGCTGCAGGCCTTGCATTCTGGGGCTCTGGCTTGCTTTTGACAAAAACTTACACGTCCTATCCTGTGAACAGTGTGATGCACTCTAGGCTGGTGTGGCCTAGATGCTCTCCCCACCCTGAGGACCCAGGCTCACACAGCCCACCCCGGGCGCTGCTGCTGAGCCTTGTCTGTGAGTACAGGTTTGGGGACCCCATGCCCCCATCACTGTAACATACAAGATCTTAGAAAGGCTAGAAAGCAGAGTGGCCAGTGCTCTAAACATGTCAATCACAGGAAGATTTCCAGATGTTTCTTCTTACCTCTAAATGGAAGTATTTGGACAAAGGCTGAGAAGGGTCATTTTTCCGAATCTGCCAGAGAAAGACAAAAATTGAGGTGGCATCCCTCCTAAATGCCATAGTCCCATGTGGCTCCATACAGCTGCTTTCACCCTGACTTGTAGATATATGTCCAGAGCTGTCTCTAGACCCCAGCACCTCAGAAATGCTAGGCTAAGGGTCATGAACGAAGCTTGTTCTAAAGCAGAAAGTGTTTGGTTCAGTCTGAGTTGTCTGCCTATGACTTCACCAACTGTCATTCAGCATCTCTTCTGTCTTGTGTCATCCTCTCTTAAGACTGTAACGACAGGGTGGGGAGTTCTACCACACTGCTGTCATTGAGCCAAAGGCCTAGCTTTCGTCTCTGCTTCTGCTTCTTACTGGCTATGTGGCTTTAGGCAACTTACGCCATCTTCCTGGGCAGTGTTTTCCTAGCTGTGTGGTGAGGGGTCATGTCACAGAGCACAGCACCTGGGAGAGGAGCAACCCCATTCAGCACATCACCAGTATTTGCCATCTCTACAGATTCTAACACGATGGCAGTGACCATGATGACCTCATCAACATGGTCATCCTGAGGTGGCAGAGGGTATGAGACTTAGAGCTGGGGTTGGGGCTGATTCAGGCTCTCACTGTGCTGCCTGCTGGCAGTGTGATGCAGATGCTGAACCCCAGAGAGCCTCTACTTTTGTCACTGAAACAGAGGGTAAGTGGCCATTGGGAAGGCCCAGGAAGCAGGTCTGGTAAGCTCATTCACCCTGACCTGGGATAATGCTGTTTTTCCTCCTTCACAGGCACACATTCTGGCAGTTCCGCCATGAGAACCCCAAGACTAGAGTTGGGGACCCTCCGCCTGAGGGGCTCCCTGGCTTCAACAGTGGAGTAATGCTGCTGAACCTAGAGGCCATGCGCCAGTCCCCGCTTTACAGCCATCTGCTGGAGCCTGCACGGGTACAGCAGCTTGCAGACAAGTACCACTTCCGGGGCCACCTTGGGGACCAGGACTTCTTCACCATGATCGGCATGGAGCACCCTGAGCTCTTCCATGTGCTGGATTGCACTTGGAACAGGCAGTTGTGCACCTGGTGGAGGGACCATGGCTACAGCGATGTCTTCCAGGCATACTTTCACTGTGAGGGCCATGTCAAGATCTACCATGGGAACTGCAACACCCCTATCCCAGAGGACTAGGACCCAGCTCACCCACTATGCCTATGGGGCTCCCGGACATGGGGAAGGAGGAGTGACTCTGCAAGGATGCCCTTGGGATCCAGGTGCTGCAGGCCCCCCAGCTGTCCAGTCCCTGTCCAGTGGCCATCCAAAGAAGCTTAGCTGAGCACTGCTGGAGCTCAGGTTGTTTCCCTTCAGGGCATTGTGAAGGACAGACACAGATGTCTTCCAGGATGTAGCTGAAGATACAAAGGACAAGATTCCCTTGTCCACATCCTTTTGAAAGAACTGGCTTTTGCTAGACCAAATAAGTGTTTAACTTAGATAGGCAGGCTTCTGTTTTGTGAGAAGAAACAAGTCGTGCTGCTGTAGTCCCAGTGAGCACTGAGCCAGTGAGTCAGGGCTTTAACAAGTAGCCCAGAGTTTAAGCCTCCGAAGGAATGCCACAGTCCCACAATCTTTCCCAGGAGGCTTTGCACCTCCTCTCCAGATGTTCTTGTTGCTTGGTGCAGGCTTCGAGGGCAGCATCTCTTTAGGTAAGGCCTCTTGGGCTGCTAGGGAGCCTATAATAACCCCTTATTGTAGCACTCAGAGCTCTTAGCTCCCCCAGCGTATCCAGGAACCCATTTTCCCTTGTCTGTCCACCTCCTCCCCGTGACCTGGCTGTACTAAGGAATCAAATTCACTGTCAAAGAACAGAGATTGGCCATGCTGAGGCACGCACTTGCAAAGGGCTGGCCTATGGTCTCACTGGTCTCTGGTGTGGAAAACAGACAGACCCATACTTTCCCATGGCACTGTGCCAGGCCTACCCCTACAGAAGAGTGCACCATTCCTTTATTTGTGCTTATAATGGGCTCTGTAAGTCAGCTGTCCACATGAAGCCACCACAGGCCATGCCATACAGTCCAGCTCATGTCCTCAGGCAAGAAATGTTCAAGTCTCATTATATTTTCTTTCAGTTTCATTGACTTTTAAATTTCCTTTCACCACAAGTGAGAATAGCTAATAAATAATCTTTGAGAACACTTGACTCATGTTGTTTGTTCTATGATCAGAGTTTCCAGGGCCATGGGGGCTCTGAATGAAGACTGGAATCAATATCAATCAGAGGGCCTAAAAGGACCAGCAGGAAGGCCTGCCTGTGGGTGGCAGTGAGGTGGTATTGCTGTGTTTGGTTCTAAGTATAGAACCATTTCATTCTAGCTATTGGTAGATCCATCTGCTGCCGGCGATGAAGCAGCCCCTCTCTGAGTCCTGCTCCTTAGCCGAGACCTCCCAGCTGCATCTGTGCCCGGGGAGGTGGCACACACACGCCTTCACTAGCCCACTGCCGGGGCCGGTTCATCTGTTCTCCTGGCTACTTGATTTCCTATTTATAGCTTCTGGTTATTAGATGCCTGCTGTGTGCCGGGCACCGTCTTGAGGATTTATATGAGCTCTAGATCATATTCATGAAAACCTTAGCAAGTTCATTCCAGTTCTAAAACTTATTATGAAAACAGAGGTATGGATAGAGCTCTGTGTGTTGTTACTGCAGCTTTTTACTGTGCAAAAAATGTTGGAATTAGCTTGAAATTCTGACTAGGGAAGTACATAAATAATGCATTAGGCAACCAATAATGGAATATGTGAAAAATCATTTTAAGCAATATTTAGTGTTCCAGGAAATACTTACACTAGTGAGTAAAGAATACAAAACATAGAAGATTGTATGTATGTCCTTTTTATTTTTTAAATTACACATTTGAATTTATATGTATATGTATACAAACATGTGCATACATGAAGTACGTATGTGTGAAAAGAGGGAGATTCAAGAATAAGCCTGTTGTGTATTTTATTGATTTCAACTCCTCACACACATTAACAAAACACTTATCCCAATAGGGGGAAAGTATATTAAAGTCCAGGGAGTTTCTTTAACTCACAATAACAGCAGAATTTTTCATCAACAATTAAAGCATTTCCAAAGCTATAAAAGAAAAAAAGTAAGCCATATACTCAGAGCACACCACCATCCCCCACTTACTCTGTGCATGCGCGCAAGCGTGTGTGTGTGTGTGTGTGTGTGTGTGTGTGTGTGTGTGTATGTTGTAGGACAACACAAAGGACAAGTTTGTAGAGTCAGTTCCCTCCTTCTGCATTTGCATAATGTCTTAGTTTGGGTTTCTAGTGCTATGAAGAGACACCATGACCACGGCAACTCTTACAAGGAAAACATTTCATTGGGGTGGCTCACTTACAGTTTCAGAGGTTCAGTCAATGATCACCATGGTAGGGAGAATGGTGGCGTAGACAAACATAGTGTTAACTACATCTTGATCAGAAGGCAGCAGGAAATTGACTGAGACACTGGGCAATGTCCTAAGTGCAGGAAACCTCAAAGCCCACCCCCACAGTGACACACTCTCACCAACAAGGCCACACCTACTCCAACAAATAGTGCCACCCCCTAAGAGATTATGGGGGCTGATTGCATTCAAACTGCCACACATGCACATTGCACCAACTCCACATTTACTTTTGAGCTCACTCTCAGGAGGTTCTCTCCCGTCACCAGTGGCTTTGACCTAATGCCTCTGGTGAATGTAGAATCACAGACAACAGGAAACCCAGCCAGCCTGGCAAAAGGCACTTCGGGTTCTTTGCTTTCCACAAACGGCTTTGACAGATGTTGGAGAATCAGCTTCTGATTGGGGTCCTGCTATGATTTGTGTTGTGCATATGTAATTAAAATGCTATGCTTCATTTATCTCATGGAGCTTTCACTGTCTAGTACATATCTGTACATGTAAGTAAAATGGAAGTCTAGATGGCATTTCCGAATGTGTAAAACTTTTCATTTATGTTCATTTCCATGTTTTTCATGCTTATTAATGTTATGAAATGCATAATAATTGCTATACACTTGAACATTTTAGTTACATTCATTTACTTTTAATACGCATGTGTATATTCACAGTCACACACATACGACATGCTGCTGTGCATGGGGAGGTCAGAGGACTTGTGGGAGTCAGTTCCTGCCTTCTACCTTGTGTATTCCAAGGAAGTCAGGCTTGGCTGCAAGTGCCTCCACCCGCTGAGCCACTGCGCGTTTCTCTGTGTAGCTTTGGAGTCTATCCTGGCACTCGCTCTGGAGACCAGGCTGGCCTCAAACTCACACTCACAGAGATCTGCCTGCCTCTGCCTCCTGAGTGCTGGGATTAAAGGCATGCGCCCCCAACGCCCGGCTCCAGTGTACTTTTTTAACCACTCTCCTCTACACTTACTAGTAAGTATCATCCTGTCTGTTTTACAGCTCATGGCTGGCCATGACTGACGTCTCCCAAAGAGCAGTCTGTGCTAAGTAGGTTCTGGTCCTCACTTCTCCCATGGCTGCCTCCTGTCCCTAAAGAAATGAATTCTAATAATAGCAGCACTAACCCTCTGTCCATTCCCCACACAATAGCAGCCTTTGTGCACACACAAAGCCACACTCCACATGTGCTGATAGTACTCGGAAAGCTTGCAGGTTTATTGATGAGATTCACTCTTGTATGTGTGTCAAGTCAAACAGACTACAGCATCCCCACCACAGTGCATCATCAAGCCACAGAAGAGCAGTTGGGTCAGTGGTACCCAGCCTGGAACACACCGGGTGGAAGCGAGTACTTAATTAAACCCCCTCCCCTTTCAACAATAGGTAGTTGGGAATAGCTCTGGATCTAGATGTGGGCAGGGTGGTATAGCGGAGAGAACGCTACCTGGCTAGAGGCCTGGCTGTCTGAATCTACAGCTGTTCTCACTACTTGGGCCACCTTGGATAAACAAGGTCACCCCACCCACCTGTTTCTAAGCGCTGGGGCTAGAGGTCTGGCAAAGAGCATTTGCAGGGGGCAAGATGGATTAGGATCTGAGAGTGTGAAGTGACACAGGGGCAAGGAATCTGGTAGTTTGAAATATTCTCTTAAAAATAATGAACCCCAGCTGTTGGGAGTTGGTTGCATGTGCTGCAGGTGGCCAGCGGCTTTTTTTTTGGGGGGGGTACACCTTTGAGTTATGCACAGCACTCTGCAGACAGCTACAAGGCCAAGGGTTGCCTCAGCTCCTGGGTTACTTGTTAGGCAACGTTTGGATGACTCTACACCGGCCTCAGTTTCTTCCTGTGTAAAAATGGAGGGCTTCTAAGGAGCACCTCTGCCCCCAGCCACATGTGGAGGAGCAGTGTTTAACACATCTGTGGGTTCGCATGTGCAATGCAGGCTTCTCCACCCACTCCCTGGTCACCAAACAGACAACTGAAACTCATGCTGATGGGTGGTGTACTCCTCCATCCCTGTTGTGGGCGGACAGGCAAGGTGGAGTGCAGGCGAACTGTGGAGTACTTTTGCAATCACAAAAGAGTTAACTGTCTCCAAGGGCCCCCTGCCCCCCTACTTTCACTCTCCCCGACAGCTGTGCCAACTAAGATTTTATCTTAACTTTAGGCTTCTGTGTCCTGCTACCAACGGGCCTCCAGGCATAGCTTATCTACAGACAGATGTGCACTTTCCACGGGTCACAGGTGGGCATTGGTTCCTGCTTAGGAGACCAGGAAGGGCTGTCCTGAGGACACGTGAAACAGACGCAGCCAGCCACTGTTGTGTAGTGTACCTGAGACTAATGCAGAGAAGGCTGCAGTGATGGGGGAGGGAGCGGTCTCAGATACCAGAGCATCTCTAACCCTGTCCTGAGGGGAGGTGCCACCACACAGCCACCTTGCTAGATGCCCCAGGTGGCTTTAGACTTATGCAAAGCATAGCTACCTCTCTCCAACGCTCCTCTCAGCCTCCCTCCTGAAGTGTAGAATTTGCTCCAGCCCTTCCCTGGGCCTCACGTATTTGGGTTGCCAACAGGGCAGTGGCCTATGTGAGACCATGATGGTAGTAGGCAGGAAGTCTGTCTGGGCCCCAGGGGAAGCGAGTTACCAACACTTCAGTTCATGCCCTGTATCCATTCCTACCCCTGTAGGGATATTCCCAGCCTTCTTCCTTTTTACTACCATGTCCTACTCCCATCCCCCATCAGTTATTTCCAAAGTGTGTCCCATGTATCTCTGTTCTCACAATGTGGCACTCTTGTTTGGTGTCTTCGGCCTTAATTGAAATAACTCTCCTGTTCCTGGAGAGAAAAGAGACAAATGTCTATCCACCCCGAATAGGGAGCCAGTGACCAAAGTCACAATGACCAAAGTAACTACAAATCCACCCAAGTCCAGCTTGGTGAACCTGTGAGTCTACTGGTTATTTACAGGAGTATGGGTGAGGGGTTAGTTACGAGGAGCTGTACAAGGCAAAGGCAGTGGATCTCTATGAAGCCCATCTCTGCCCCCACCCCTGGTGATGAAGGCACAACTGCTGCAACCCCAGGAATTCTGAAGACACTTGGAGACAGATGGGAGAATCGTCCAGGCAGCTGAGCTTGTCAGTCTCTGGTCGGTCCGCAGCTCTGCATTTTTTCTCCCAAGGGAGGGAAGGTTCACTGCCTCCATAACACGTAACTCTGGAAGGTTTCAACTCTCCAGGCTTGGAAAGTTTGTTTACTCCCTCATCTCCAGAGCCCCAGCCTCCCTTCTCTCTCCACAAGGAATGCTTCAATTCAGAAGGAATCTTTTAATACGGAGGTTGTACTGGCTGGTTTTGTGTAACTACTTGACACAGCTAGAGTCATCAGAGAAGGATCCTCAGCTGAGGAAATGTTTCCATAAGATCCAGCTGTAAGCCATTTTCTTAAGTAGTGATCAATGGGGAAGGGCCCAGCCCACGGTGGGTGGAGTCTTTGTGGGCTGTTGGTCCTGGATTCTTTAAGAAAGCAGGTTGAGGGCTGGAGAGACGGCTCAGAGGTTAAGAGCACCGACTGTTCTTCCTGCGGTCCTGAGTTCAATTCCCAGCAACCACATGGTGGCTCACAACCATCTGTAATGAGATCTGATGCCTTCTTCTGGTGTGCAGATGTATATGGAAGCAGAATGTTGTATACATAACAAATAAATAAAATCTTAAAAAAAAA